CGACAAAGAAGATATTTATCATTTTCTATTTTTATGCAAAGCAACTTATCATTTAAGACACAAATTTTATGGAGATTTCATGTACAAAGTTCAAAACCTTGAAGTAGACCCAACACTTATTAATAACTTTCTTTCTGGAGGAATTAATTTTAAGTTTAATGTACTTTTTAGCGACATATTGTGGAAAGTCAACAATAATTTGGGGAATATTGTATCCAAGGAAGTTAGAGTATTTATTACTCAATTGTATAAGTATAGAAAAGAAAGTTTGAATTTAATGTGATTTTTCTTCTTTCCTTTTTCAAATATGTATGATTTGGTTGTTTTCTTCTCTTTGTTTGCCGCTCCAAAGGCTAATAAAATATTATTATTATTATTTAGTGTCACTGCTTACCGGACCAATGTCAAGCTGAACTTGAGAGAATAGCTATATTTGCATAGTTCATATATTCCAGACACTTACAATAAAGTTGCCGTAACTTTCACACAAAGAAATTATTATTTTGTAAAATACTATTAATATTTTTAGTGGAGAACCTGACCGCCCCCAACGTTTAACCTGAACAATGTTGCCCCATTTCAAAAATAATTGCATTAAAATTCATAAATATATATATGTTCATGTCAATCCCACTGCAAACAAAAATGCTAGTCATTGGGGAAACATTTAGAGTGACAAAATCTACTAAACAAGCATGATGATGATGATTAACATTAAACATTAAACCAACCATGAACATTTCCGTTAATAATATTCATAAACAATGACATCACCCTAAAATTGCCACGCCCAATAATAAAGGGCGTTACACATTGTTGTTATTCTATACCGACTCACAACCCCGGAAGGCCGCCCTGCAAATTCTCCACTCAAGTTTATCTATCTAAACAACATTTATGTTTTAATAATTAAACTTCACTGAGTTCACTCGGGATTAATTACTATAACGACACAATGTGACGGGTGTCAATCTTAGAGGCATTCCCGTCATCCACGATATCGTATTCATCACATTATCATAAAATTAATCATCGCATTGCCATGATTAAACTAGTTCTCTGGGGAGTTTATAGCATAGCGTAGTTGCAGCATGTGTTGGGATATATTTGACCGTATGTGCAGATCAGTGTAGCATATAGTACACACTATTTGCGTGGATAAATTGGCTATTATCGCAGTAAGCGTTAATATTTAATAAATGCAACACATTTATCGATAATTATTAGAGGGCATCTTGAAGTCATTTATAAATCAAAGATTCAAGACGGCCCACATCGTGTAGTTCATATTGGTAAATTCGTAGATATTGTGATATTATTATAACTACTTCGCTGACTTATTATCCAGCGACAATTAAAACCAGAAACAAATGTTTAGAGTCATAGGGTTGTTACGTAATATATATACAATATGTTGAGAAAAACATAGCCATGTATTTTTCAAAAAAAAAATGCCAATTTTAGAACAGTTACATAGAACACAACAATAATGCAGTATGACTTTGTTGCCACCCTTTGAAGGCCATATTTTTGTAACGGTAAATGATATGGTCAAAACGTCCTTATAATGACAAAATGGCTGTCGACCACTAAAATATAATCATCTTTTTATAAAATAAATAGGCTGGTGATCCAAGCATCATTATGTTGGATCGGAGTACAATTTATTACAAAATGGATAAATTCTAGATATTTTAATTTATACCAAGTTGAACAATAGCCTTGAATCTATGCGGCATTCTACTCAATATACCTGACCTTACTTAGAAGATGTTCGACACTAAACTTGAACGCTAATGTTAATTTCTCTTTCTTTTTTAATCTCGAGCATTATGAATCGAGGGTTCGTGGCCGTGCCGGTGCCAGGGCGTAACCGTGACCTCCCTCAGCTCTAAGTTTCAATGTTACAGTTCATCTCGTAGGCAGTTAGCACGCGTTTGGTTGGTTACTATGAATATGAATAATTTAATTTTATTTTAACGAGCTCTCACGAGTCTCAGTTGAAACGACTCGGAAGCTCCTTGAAATAACCTGTCAGAGAATCATGATTTCGTGAGAAAATAAATCTGCATTTTGGCTCAAGGGATTATGCGAAACGTGTGTGTGCATTACTATAATTCACTATAGGAGTGAAATGCGCCCTGTATATAAAACGATTACGTCAATGTGGGTATTTCAGATCTAGGCTGGCGTCTGGGAATGCTATTCATGTACATTTTAGCAGGCTAACGGGATCGAGCGAACTATTGTCAATTCTCTTATCACCGAGTGGCGATAGCCGGAGGACGTACACTCCCCATCGTGATGCTGACAGAAAATATGAATTCCCCTTATTTCGCACACTATCGAATGAAAAGTGTATTTTAGTTTAACCCAATATATGAACTATATTTTCATACATATTTTTGATTACCTAAACATTAAAATAAACTTACAACACGATTCGCATGAATTAAAACTCAATTCCCACAATTGGATCGAAAAAAGTACGTCAAGTAATTGTTAAACAAATAACTGTGATTATTACGTAGCTACAGTATGTTCTCATAGATGTCGGTATGTAACAAAACACAAGAAATAAGAAATGAAAATAAATATAATTGTCAATAAAGGTATACTATCAAAAATATAATTCTGGATGAGTTCACGTGTATACATTTCTGGACTGTGTTAGTGTACTATAATCAATATTCGACTATCATCGCAAGAAAGTAATTGTGTCCCGGGCTATTCTTGATTGGGCAGAAGTTGATATAGGGGTCCAATGATTTCAAAGTTATTCATTGGTTATTTAGCGGTTTATTTCGAAGGGACAACCCATTCCATGCTCAGGCTTTAGAGCGAAGGAAGTCAACTCGCTCCCTTCCCAACAACCACCAACTGCTAGTAGTTGTTCAGAAGACTTGGTTCGGGGGTTACACGATTGCACACTTGCGAACTGTGAATGTGACGTACTATGTGTGTGTAAAACGTACTCTTCAAATAACATGTTTGGTTTCGTAATCGTTTGTCGTTTAGAATATCGCAAATCTTAAAAAAATGTTTTATTGACTGCCGACCACAGATAAAACAATATGTGGGGGGGGGGGCTGTCCTATGTAACAGTCATTACGTCACAGAAGAAATTCGTCGCTAGAGGGAGTGCCTTATATGAAATGTGCATTGCGCTCTCTTGATATCAGGGTGTGCACATTACATATATGGACAGTTTTTTTATGAAATAATTTTAAAATCTTTAATACACTAATTTTGGCATTTATTTTCGTGGTTTCGTGTCCGTTTACTTATATTCTTTCTAGTGACCTTTGATCCACGCATAATTTGTTCGACTTAATTTGTGTTGACATTTTACCTGGTAATTTGTGTGATTACAAATTTTCAAACAGCATATTATTTGATAGGAAATAATGTCACCTTATACGTTCAAAATGCAATCAAATAGGTATAGTCCGAGTCGTTTAATCAACAACATTGTTGCCTTGGGTGTTATATGCAGGATCCGTATCCATAACAACGTTAACGTAATGCGGAGACGCCATCTTATGGATGAGCTGAACACAATTGACAATTAACAATTCGAATTCCTTCCCTTGAAGAGTATATTTCGCAAGATCATGACAAAGAACATTCCCATCCTCGAAAGCTCGGGTTGTTGCGAAGGAGCGTCTCACTCTAGGAATGGAAAGCATAGCCTGAAAAATGTAGGATAGTTATTACAAAATAGTATAATAGGTAGTAGGCACTGATGATATATATATCATATAAAGGAATCGACCGTGACTGGTGACGTGTCAATATAGAGGAGTCGGTAGTAACTGGTAACTTGTTAATAAATGCTAAAGATTACTATCGAGTTCCGGTTCGAGCCAGATTTCTCCGGTCTAGTATTAAAAAGCTCATACTCCATGATATACAAAGAAAATGTGCTCGCAGGTATCATGTCACGTGAATATTTTAATATCAAGTACGCCCTCTGTGACGAAGATGGCAGCTACACCGACACGACTCGGAGGCCACTACAATTAAAATCAGTTTTACAAATAGTAAGATGTTTCTGTTGATATGTTCATCCCAACCAGTATAAAACAAAACCAAAGACCGCATTACTACATCTCGAGTTACTACTTCGTAGTATTGCCCAATAGTACCTTACTAAATTCGTTACGGTAGGGCACCGAGTAACGCTTTCAACATCGTCTCACGAGTGCACAGGAGAATATTACGATTAACCTCTCCATATACAACATTGCACATATAAGCAATGAGTTAAGTACATACGGTTTTACAAAGCTAAACAAAAATATTTGTCTATTTTGTTTTTTAAATTTAATAGCGAACACCGTCATCAGAGTTGTTGTAAGCGTAAAAATGAAGCCGATTCAACTGCACTGAGGCTGTCATTGGCATTAACTAGTTGTCTGAGCTCACGAAGAGGTCCATTTCCACAGCCACAGAAACCTATCATCCAGTCTTCAAAAAGACTTAAAATATAACATTTTATATTGGAATACCTTATCAGAATTGTGAATGGCATAAATGTGCTTTGCATTGCAGTGTTTGTTGAAAATGTAGGAGACTAGATGAAAGAGGATTTTAAAGTGGCTCAGCTACTCATTATTTTGGAGTTTGTAAGCAGTTAAGTAGAAAATGCCAATGACGCTCCACTTCATGACCGTGACTGCATATGTAAACAGCGGTGTTGTTTGGAGCATGGAGCTTCGCGTATATAGCTCGCTGACGTCGCAGTGAATTATGGGTGTATTGTTCTGGGATATTAATGTCGTCGAACGCAAATAATTTTGCTTGAATCATATGTTCTAAGTAGATCAGTAGATTCGGTTACATATTCCCCAACGTATTACGCGAAATGCGAAAGATCGCGAGAATATACGTTCACGTCATTAACATTTCGGTACAACGAACACACACACATTTTTGAAGCAGGAAAAAGCTTTATTTATAAATAACTCAACCACGTGACACAGAGAGACTGGATGATGATGAAAATGAATCGAGAAAATTAATGTTGCTTTCATGGCAACGTACATAATTTAGATTAAGTAGTCAACATTGCTCAAGGTGTGTCTATTGAGATTCTATTAAGTTCTTCGCCAAAAAAACGCGGCAAACATTTTTTTCATTGGTCGGTAGAATGATGACGAAACAATTCAGCCTCCGTTGTCCCTGGCGTCCTTATCTCGCCAGATTGCAATTGTTATGCAAATGAGATGAAATGTACCACAGGTTACAACAAAGATGTGTAACAACAAACCCTATAACAAGGTTATTAATAGATAAAGATTGTAAATATTAAAACTATGAAAGATCGATAGAAATGTGTACGCATTCCCTTTTAGTTTTGCATAATCTCGACAGCCGAGTAAAGTTTAGCCAGCCTCAATAAACAAACAGATCCATTCCAATGCACTTTTAGAATCCCGTCGCATCATAGAAAGGAACAGAAAGCAGTAAAACGGAATCCTTCAAACGAAGTGCAATCAGTGGTGATAATGATGAAAAAAAGTTATGTTTTGATTAAAAATGTGTTTGTTTTTTCAAAATAAAAATAAATATTTTTGACAATGATGTAATCGTTGCCTTGTCTAGATTTTAAGTATTGAAGTACATACACAAGGTGTATTCTGAAAGAAAAAGAAAAGAAAAACGCACAATAATGTGTTTTTTTGTTTTTTTTAAATAACCATACCATGTTCATAGCGTCACTGACGCGTGTAAATATATCCTTGTGTTCAGGCTCCAGCATTTCTGTCACTACCATGTCATGGTTTACCAAGGTTTAATTTTTGTTTTCGTATCAAAAATCAAATTGAGTTTTTCAGAGGTATAAAATTTAGATAACAACATATTTTACACTGTTTCCACAATATTCACAAAATGGCGGGCGTAATTATTGCCAACAAATATACACAAGCTGTTTTACGAAGACAACACACGTAGGGGGCGCTATACAATGAAGATGTACTGACGTAGTCACGAGTTAAAGCGGAGCCTCAACGCAGATGTCTCGTCCCCGGGTTTTTGTCTAAAATTGTGGCACACTGTTGTCGTTTGGCGGCGATTCAATGTCCGATGCACTCTGTTCCGTTATTTCTGTCTCCATAAGTTGTATTATATTGGAACTATCCACCGTCTCCACTGGTGTGGGCTCGGATGACGTCGACGATGTTGATGGGTGCGGAGATACACTTCGGCGACTACCTGCTGAATGTTTTGATCCTTTTGACCCGTGCGATGTTGTCGACGTTCGACTCGTGCCACTCGATGTCCTCACAGCCGGCGTTTTATTTTGGGTGTCGTCCGTCGACGACGTTCCGGAACTGATCCCCGATGACGTTGAACTCGCCGGCTCAGGAGGCCCCCCTCGTTGGGGAGACGATGGATCCGAGTATCCAACGTCGTGGTTACTTTGTCTGCCAACTGGTAAGTTCGGTGTGGACATCGGTGAAAACAATTTGATCATGTCGGATATTTGTCCATCTAATCGACTCATCTTACCGTTCAAGGAGCCGATCTCTTCTTTCAGTTCAAGTTTGATTTCGATCAAACTAGCGATCAGTTGTTGATCGTGAGTGTTGTTATGAACACCGCCATGTTTTTTAGTTGTTTCCAACGCGTCCTGTCCAACTTCATCTAGTTTCTGTTCACTTTTTATAATCCCGCTATCCGTGGATTCGGCTTTTTTCAGATTTGTCCGTTTGAACGGCCATTTTGATTCCTTTTGTGGTTGATCAATTCTTGGTTCTGACTTTGCGGCGGTTAACAATGTAATAGGCAATTCCCGTCTCACCTCCTTTCTGTCGTTTCGCTCCTCGTTGGGTGTCGACTCGTTGACTTTAATCAGTCTGGGTGTGAGAGATGTTTTCATTTTTGACCGAGGACGGTGTTGTCCATTTGGGTTGTCACCGTCATGAGATCCATCACTGTCCCTTTTAGTATTGGCAGAGCCTGCCCGTTTTTCTGGCACATCGCTGAGTTTCCGGAACCGTGACATGAGTTTTCGCACTGGGTGATCAGCGGGGATTGGCGGATCATTCTTGCGCTTTTCCGCTTCTTCCTTTTCACGTTTGACGTCAATGATCTTTCTAAATATGAGCTGAAAACAAAAAAAACAAACAATTAA